GGGGTAAATTTTCAGCTCAAATAGACCCAAATGCACAATCCTAGTGCTCCTATATATTTGGTCATGAAATGTGTCTAGTACTTTTGTTGACGCCACCTGGCAGCCCTAGCTGGATGATCAGAACTATGTCTCTCATTTACCTTTCATTACATTTCAGTTATCAAAGCAGTACGGCCCCATCTTCAGCATCCAAATGGGAGTCCAGAAAATGGTCGTTCTGTCGGGCTACAAGACTGTAAAGGAGGCTTTGGTGAACCAGGCAGATGCTTTTGCGGGCAGGCCCCTTATCCCAATATTTGAAGACTTCCTACAAGGCTGTGGTGAGGTCATTCTTTCTGAAGAGTGGCTAGTCTTCTTATATATGCAGAACTTACAGCCTTGGAGGGTCTGTGCCAAACACGATCCTAGGAGAAACACAAAGTGGAGTGTCCCTATCTATAGAACTAGGTTGGCTTAAACTGTTTTGATACAAGCACCTATGTCCCCCACACACGCACACACCTGTGAGGTCAAAGAAGAGCCGTTCATGTTAAAAATACAAGGGAAAGGGTTTTAAAACAGAAGCACAAACAACAGTGGCTATGGATTCATACCTTGATCCTATGAGGACTTCCCTCCTGCAGCTCTTTCACTTTCCCCACAAGATGAAACATTCAGCATTTTTTAAATCTTCAGCATTAGGGCCTGGTTTGCAGCTCAGTCCTCTGTTAAACCTACATGACTTTAATTTCTGTAGTAATTAGCCTCTGTAGTTGAATCTTTGGTTCTGTTTCCCAGGAGGCTTCAGGACTCTGCTAAGTGGCCTTAGGGTACAGATAACCCTGTACATGATTTTTGCCTCACATGACGTTTACATTTTGGGAATGTTTATACATTGCAGAGGCCAGGAGTCACTATCAAATTCTAAATACGTAGAGGGTGATTCTGCATCTAGCATTTGCTCCACATTTTCTCAAACGGGAGGGGAAAGTGCAGCTCAAAACCACATCCAAATAACTCAGGGCAATGCCTGCAGAGTCACCCCTGAACGGCCATAAAACGGCCATCAATCTATGCAGAAGGTACAATTAAATCCAATGATCAAAGAACTCGAAAGTGGCATAGAGTGTGGACGCTGCCGTAAAATCTGATCATCAATGGAAGTGAAAGCAGCATACAATGCGGAGGGGATTCTCTGTTCCAACTTTGGGTTTCATAAAACAATGGAGGGGAAAACCAGAGTATCTGAAGCTAGCTTCCCCGGACTCTTCCAGTCAACCTTGACTCTCTGAGTCAACCTAGCTTAACCCAGCTTTCCATGACCTTCCTGACCCCAGAGATAGCAAGAATGGGCTGAGCTTTGTCGTGAACATCAGAGATGTATGCCAAAATGCTCATCACAGACTTGACTGTTAGATTTAGCTCCTATGGTCAGAAAAGGGCACTTAACGTCTGGATTTAGTTTTGTTCCTGGTTGTTATGACCAACCACCCTTCCGTTATGGGTCTTGACAGAGCAACCAAGGATACAGTTTATAGAACTTTAAGTGCACTGTTCATGTATTGGAGTTGTGTTGAGATATTCTGTGTCGAATATTGAAATGCTACAAAAGTGTTTTCTGACTTACAAAGGATAAATTGTGTTTTGGTTTTGAACAACTCTCTCTCTCTCTCTCTTTTTCTGACTTAAGCGTGTGTAATAGAATAAATTGAGTTTTGGTTTAGAACAACTCTCTCTGTCTCTCTCTCTTGATGCAATTGGGAAGCCACCTTCTCTCCCTCCCCAAATGAACACAGTGGGGATGGGAGTGCATGGAAAGGTTCCTGCACCCCTAATTTCCCCAACACAAGGCCAGTTGAACACCCTATGATCTTGTGAGATCTTGGAAGCTAAGCAGGGTTGGTCCTGGTTGGTACTTGGATGAGAGACCACCAAGGCATTCCAAGGTTGCTACACAGAGGCAGGCAATGGTTAAACACCTCTGCTTGTCTCTTGACTTCAAACCCATGGGGTTGTCATAAGATGGCTGTGACTGAAACAGACACAGAGAGAGAGAGAGCACAATCTCCCATCCCTGAGCAATGAATAGGGAGTCTGCTTGCAGGAAGAAAGAAAAGGAAGGGGTAGACATGTTGACGTTCACACCATGGGAAGAGGGGCCGTCATGGTGGAAGAGTGCTCTATCCCTGGCCTTGCATAGAGAATGATTGCCCAGCCAGCAAGAACAGAGCAGATGGGGTGAAGCTGCAACCTGTCTCATAAGCAGTTGTAGCTTCACCCTATATCAGAGGTAGGATGGTGTAGTGCAGGGGTGTCAAACATGCAGCCCAGGGGCCAGATCAGGCCCTCAGAGGGCTTCTGTCAGGCCCGCAGTGGAACTGGCTGTCTTCTGCTTCTTCATCCAGTTCTGCTGCTGCTGCTGCGTCATCGTAGCTTTGCAGCTTACAGATACACACCTGAACAGCATACTCAAGACATTTTGATGCAATCATTCAGAGCAAGAGGCGTCAGTTATCAGACACTGTTAAATAAACAAAATATTTCAAGAGTGCTAATGTTCTAAATATGTTTTTATTTTAAGTAAAAAAAAACTGTTTGTGTCCTTTATAAAGTTTATATCTCCACTACCTGGCATTACATTTTATGACACACATGGCCAGGCCCAACAAGGTCTCATTTATGTCAGATCCGGCCCTCATAACAAATGAGTTTGACACCCCTGGTGTAGTGGTTAAGAGCAGCAGAAGTCTAATCTAGAGAACCTAGTTTGATTCCCCACTCCTCCTCCACATGCAGCCACCTGTGTGACCTTGGGTCTCTCATAGCTCTCTCAGAACTCTCTCAGCCCCACCTCCCTCACAGGGTGTCTGTTGTGGGGAGAGGAAGGGACGGCGATGGTAAGTCACTCCGAGACTCCTTTGGGTATGGGTAGCGAAGGGCAGAGTCAGAGGTCATTTCGGGGGGGATCGCGGGGGATCGCAGTTCCCAAGAGGGACAGTCATGATCAAAGAGTGCTCTGTGGACCCTGGCCTTGCATAGAGGAAGATTGCACAACCATCAAGAACAGAGTAGATGAGGTGAAGCTGCAACCTGTCTCATAAGCAGTTGTAGCTTCACCCTATCTCAGCACTAGGTTGGTGTAGTGGCTAAGAGCAGCAGGACTCTAATCTAGAGAACCTAGTTTGATTCCCCACTCCTCCTCCACATGCAGCCACCTGTGTGACCTTGGGTTTTTCATAGCTCTCTCAGAACTCTCTCAGCCCCACCTCCCTCACAGGGTGTCTGTTGTGGGGAGAGGAAGGGACGGCGAGGGTAAGCCACTCCGAGACTCCTTTGGGTAGCGAAGGGCAGAGTATAAAACCCGCTCTTCTTGTAATTCTGGGAGAACTTCTTGGCAGCTCTAGTAGGGTGACCTAGAAATATGCCTGGTTATGTGGACAGGAGCTGGCTCAGTTCTCAGGGACAAACAGTGGGACCCACTAAACATCTTATTTCTTTCCTATATTTCTGTCCTGCTTTTGTTCATTGTTGAAAATGTTTTACAATGAAACAAGAAGCATCTCCCTCTCCTGCCCCCCATTCCCAATATTAGTCCCCATGAGTAGGTGAAAGTTTTAGCTGTTATGTATTGACTTGAATGTAGATACTGACATGCGAATCGCCTGATTGAAAACCAATGTTAAGCTTCAGCCTGGGCTAGGATCCTAATGTAACCAATAGGAGTCCTAGCCCAGAGAGTGTCTACCAATCACGTTGTAAAGCGGGACCGCTTGTGATTGGGCCTTATATCTTCAACCTCATAGGTTGTTATTTGTACAGGGGGTGTGGCTACACTAGCCGGGAATGTTTAAATATCGACAAGCCAGTGTATGTAGGCTGTCCCGTTCTGGCTGGCGATCGTTGTACTGTAACTAAGCTGAAGAATAAACCGCATTCTTGCTGAAATCACTCTCCGACTCTTGTTAAGCGCACGACTTAACAGGTACATATACAATGTATGAGATAATGGAGAAATCCTAACTCCCCAGCCTCCCTGGGGGGATGGGCTATGAGGGATGGGGAAATATATGAGAGTGCCAAAAGAAGGCCCATCACTGTCCTCAACCAAAGGCCCGGTGGAACATCTCTGCCTTGCATGCCCTGTGGAAAGGTAGCAGCTCCCGCAGGGCACGGATGTCTTCTGGGAGAGCATTCCACCAGGCAGGGGCCAGGGCTGGGAAAGCCCTGGCTCTGGTCGAGGACAGCCAGACTTCTCTAGTTGGTAACAGGGAGACTGAGAAGAGAAGCACTGAGTCCCTCCTACTCTCCTGTTTGCTCTGAGGACTACTGGGATAGTCTCTTAAAGAGGTAGTCCACAACACCTCTCTCCCCTACAGAGAATATTCAGCCACCCAGACCGGATGTTTTCACTGCCATTTTGGTCTTCCCCTTTGGCTTGATTCAGCTGCAGTCTCAGCAGAAGAAACCTCTTCCACAGGTAACTCAGTAATAAGACCACCACTTCCTTGTGATGAAGGAGGTTGATCCTTATTGGCAGGATCAGGATGGCCTTCTCCAATTAATTCTGAACTTGATGTTGGTGGGTTGATCGCCTTACTTGTTCCATTGAAGAATTAGGAGTATAAAATATGTAACCAAGTTGATACAACAAGTATGCAGACCGATTTGGCAGCCCCCCTAAATACTAAATTTTTGATCCACTAAATCGCAGCTGGAGAGAGTTCAAAGAGCTCCGTCACATCACCCTGGAAAGCATGACTCTCACATTCCTGTGACAGATGGAAAATAGTTTGGTGGGTCCTGGTATTTTGCCCCATTTAAACAATAGGTCTGCAGAACTGCCAAAGCCTGTTCATATTTTATTAGCTGTCTTCCATACTTTACATGGCAAGTCAAATCAAGACTTGTGTCCGATTGAAAGACTTGGTAGCTAAGAGCTGAAACAAAGAGTTGTTGAGTTTAAGAACTGCATTGTGGTTTGGTCATATTAAGAAAAACTACAGAACTGAGATCTGTTTGAAAAAGAAACTCTTCGAAACGAACGATTACTTGAGAGGTTCGTCCTTCTCTTGGTGTCATCACTCTTCTGATGGCATCCTGTCGTTGAAAATACAAGAATTAAACATCACAAAGCTCATTATTTATAGTCTATTATTGTCCATCTTTTTCACTGTAAGAACCTTGCAGCAATTTGTGTTTTGATGTCTATTGTATTGCTGTTCCCTTGATTGCTATTATTTGCAGAATTTGTGCAGATCTTATTGCTAAGTGTCAGGATCTTAGTCTGGATAGTCCCATATCAGCCATGTCTTTGTGGATAGGCAACTCTCTCTTTTTAATATATTTCTTTATTCATGAAGAAGAGCATCTTGTCTTCAGAGATGTGGGGGAGCGATGTGACACAATGTTGGTAGCTGATAGGTCGGAGTGGGTTTAATACATCTGCTGATTGTTCTCATTGTTGTATTGCGTTGGACATCAAGTCTGTGAATGTGGGGGCTGTTGAGCCACACTGAAGCACCATATTTCACAGTACAATACACCAGCCCCAAAGCTGAGCATCTAAGAGTTGTAGCAGAGGCAACCCAAATTGTACCACATAAATTTTGAAGAATGTTGTTTCGCATGTGCATTTTTGCTGCAACATTGGCAAGATGGTGTTTATAGCTCAAGGTCCTGTCCAGGGTAATGTCAAGGTACTTAGATACATGGTTGTATGTAAATTGGGTGCCATTAAGGTACACATTCAGTTAACGGTTGGTAAGATTGTTATTGAGATGAAAACAGGAGCATTCAGTTTTTCCTGGACTTGGGATTAGCCGCCATTTATGGTAGTAGACAGCCAAAGTTTCGAGGTCCTTAGTCAGTATTTCCTCAGTCCTTTTAATGTATTTGTGCCTTACAATAGCTGTGTCATCAGCATAAGCAAACTTCCTGGATATCATCTCAGCAACATCAGAGGTGTATAGATTGAAAAGAACTGGAGTGAGGACCAAGCCCTGGTGTAGACCATTATTCAGCTTCTTCTGCTTGCTGATTGACTGATCCATAATTACTTGGAATCTTCTATTACTCAGCATGTTATTTAGGAGTCAAAATAGCGTTCTGCAGGAGAAAACTTGTAAAAACTTGTACAGCAAACCATCCCTCCAGACTGTCATGAGCAACAGTCAGACTGACAAAAACTGCTGATGTCTTAAGACACTTCTGATACCCTGCCTCAATGAAAGTTCTTAAGCTGAGAGCCTGGTCTTCACAACTATGACGGGGTCTAAATCCTGCTTCCTTTGTAGGGACACGTTCATTAATTCTGTCACTGATTCTGTTCAGAATTAGCCTTTCAAGGAGTTTATAATAGGAGCTCAGAAGGAAAATAGGTCAATAACTTTCCCCCAGATGTTTTGGTTTTCCAGGTTTTAGAACAGAAACTATCTTTGCTTTCTTGAATTCCCCTGGGAGTCTTCCTGTTCTCATGATGCCAGGAAGAAACTTTGCGAGCCACTTCTGAATGAACATGCCGATTTTTACCAGGAACTCATTGTAGATGCAGTCAAAGCCTGGTGCCTTTCCACCCTTGATGTCCTTCAGTACTTTGGAAATCTCATCAGCACTGAAACCCCCTGACAGCTCGTAGTCTTCAGGGCAGGTGCATCTCAATCTGGTGTTCTTTTTTTTAGCTTGATTTCAAAATCTTGACCCTTTGGAGATCAGGATAAGGATACCAGTCAGGCAGCTACCTGTTTGATGTTACCTCCAGCGTTCCTCGGAGCAGAGATGGGCTTGCACCTAGTTTTTTCTACAGCCTCCAAGCTTTTCTACTGGAATGCCTGAAGTCCAGATTCACAGTTGCTTAGGTCCATTTTTATCTACGTGCAGCATCGAGTGCATTTATTTATTTATCTAGCAAATGTATACCCCGCCCTCCCCCGTAGGGCTCAGGGCGGCTTACAAGGCAAGAGATCTTGCTACAATAAAAACATAATATTCCTATAATATTAAAAACATACTATACAGTTTAAAAACCAGTCCGAATTCAAATAAAGTGCTCAGTGTTCTTCGAACTTCAAAAAACCCAAGATGACGGACCAAGTCCAAGGAGTTCCCAGTAGACAGTCAATGGCGTCAATGTTCAGATGTTAAGATGTTCAGGTGTTCCTTCTTAGGGCATGGAGTAGTTCATGTGCAATTTCTAGATCTTTGCTGTCAAGGAAATTTTGATACATCCTTGTTTTGAATATCTGTGTCTCTGTCTGCATTTGTCTGCTTGCACACATGTCACAGTAGTTTTAGAAGCCTGTTGACCAGAGCTGGGCTGAACCCCGCGAGGAGGAAACCTCGTGCTCCAATTGGTAGGCCCTGTTTGCCTCTGGCAAGTGGTTGCGGGGCAAAAATGTCTCTCCAGTGGAGTGTCCATCAGCTGTCCAAACAGCTGTCCCTCCTAGATCAGGCTTTGCCCGTAGGGATAAAATTTCGGACGGTTGCACAGCGTCTGGCAGAGACGAAGTAGATCCTGCTTCTGCTCCTTGTTCTGCCACCTTTGGGTACCCATCAGTCATTCCCAGTTTGTGACTGCCCCTCTCAAAGGGACCTAACCACTCCTAGAGAGCAAAGCCTCGGGTGAGGGTTATCGTTTTGGTCGGTGGAGCAGGGGTGCTTCCAGACAATTCATTATTTTCTCCTGAATTCTTATCTCCCTTCTTTCCCTGTGACTGCATGACTGTGCATTCTGCTCTCACTCTGAGGAATTTCAGACAGACGATATAATTCGGAAGAGGAACGGTTCCCAAACGGTTTCTGGTCTGTCATTTCAGACAGAACCGTTTTAGAACCAGTTCCCTATCGGAATATATTTGTAATTTCAAACACAAACGCTACTGTCCCGTTTAGGAAACAGGGCTGAAGCGTTTTACCTGTCAACCACTTCCAAGTAGTCTTCAGTTTCCTCTCCCAGTTCCGATGTGTTTTTTCCCGCCGCTTTTCGCCCACATGGGCAATCTCCGGTTTGGGGTTTTTTTTTTAACGTTAGCTTTATATATCAACCCCAATGGAATGCCTGGAGTGTTGTGTTATAGCCCTATAGTGCTCTAAAGCGAACGTTCAAAAAAAAAAGCCGGAGATCGTCCATGCGGGGGGAAAGCGGGGGGAAAGCGGTGCAGTCTGAAATGGCAAACCGCTTCAGATCCAGCTCTTTACCGGAAGGGGAAAGCCATGTGTGAAATGGCAGCCCTATACTGGTTTACTCCACGACGGATCAAAAACGGCTTCAAAACGGGTTAAAAAGGGTAATTTATTTATTTATTTATTTATTTTATTCAATTTATACCCCGCCCTCCCCGCCACGCGGGCTCAGGGCGGCTTACAAGAGGCATATGCCAATATGAAACATATTTAAAATCATTTAAAATCATCACAATACAGATAGCATTATAATAACTTCCAGTTATTAACAAAGTGCTCTGATTACTCAAGCCTGGGATAGATTCTTTCCAATATCCTCGAGGAATGTTCTTTTTGGCCATAGACCACAGCTCCGACAAATCGGTGGTAGATATCATGTACTGGAGGGACCCATCCAAGACACCTATCCAGATCTTCACTGAAACCTTTCCAATTCACCTTCTTAAGGTTCCATGGTGATCCTGGAAAAGACCTGATAACTGGTATTTGGATTCCTCGCTCAAGGATTACAGGTTGATGTGGGAAAGCCTGAAGAACACATCTGGATATAGGCAAGGGCTGACTTCTCTGGTCAGATAATATTTAACTAAGCTGTTTCTAGAGCTCTAGGACAGGGTTGTCCTGGACTGGTTCTGGAGATTCTCAGTGGGCCCTGCATT